CAAATAAATTTTGCTCTAGGCATATAAGAGTTTCCATCTCTCACAATGAACAATTTGTCCAAAATATGCCGTGTTATCCTCTAGAGAAGTGTTTCTCAGAAATAGGCAACAGTTTATCTCAATAATGGACAGAAATAATTTGAAAGAAGAAAGCGGCTTAATTTTGCCCTCTACGACCGGGAGAAAAATCCAACATTAGGGGTATCGAATGGTCCCATTCTATTTAAAAGTGCTCGCAAAATTTGGCCTTTGCCAAACGTTACAATAACGTCATGACATTCAAACYCCAAATAGTGTAATTCATTTTATCGAAATTTAGCTAAACTTTAAAGATTAAACGAAAACGAAAAAGTGGAAAAAAAGTGTTTTTTTTTTACATTTGAAATATACGAATTACACTTTTTATCAATGGAAATATCTTTGGTATTCCAGTTTAGGAATCGCTGAAAACTCACGGCTATGACTAATTTTTGTTGCTTTTCATGTCTTTTTCATGTTGACGCGTTTGTTCATATGCCAGCTTTATTTACTTTTAATATAGAAATAAAAACAATTCAACAAAAGAGCTTTAGCAAAGGTAAATCCTTATAATCTAAAGGCAAATATATGGATGTAATAGAGCCTCCTGAAAGACAACCCTCTATTTAGTTATTTGACAGTTTTTTTTTCTATATAAAAACCCCGCACTTTGGGAACTCTTGTTTGTTTTGGGACATGTGGTAAGGGTTACATATCAATTCAGACCGTGAGTTCCTCCTTGATTTTAAACAGCTACTAGATCGAAAAATGGCGCATCGTTTTCCTGTCTTAAACTTTACATATAGGCTACTACTACTAGTTACAGGTATGATTATATAAAGACTGAAAGAACGGCTTAAAACTACAGACGTAAAGATTGCCAACTTTTATCAACATGCAATTATCATACGTATTGAAATATCCTTTGATTTGGTAATTCCGTCGGAACGTATTCAGTAATTTTATCGTACTTAGTTCTTAGTGCTTTATTAGTTCCTAATGCAATTACCGCTTCAAAATAATTTAATAGGCAGTATTAAAAA